ACACTAGAATAAATAGTCTGTGTAGATGTACGATATTAGTTTTTAATATTATTGCATTAAATTACATAGCACGATACCTTTATTAAAGGTTTTTAGTATTGCATCTGTTCATCACTGTAGAATACCTGCCTGTTCATATACGTTCTTGGCAGATGATCCAGAAGTGGTTTGCCATTGCCTTCTTCTGTGTGTGAATGGAGTAATTGTTGGGTTGCCACGGAGAAACCGGGGAAGCCCCCGGAGGAAAACTCCGTGTTGCCTAGACCACAGCCTTGCCCAACACAAGTTATAAATTCGGGTACCGCCGGGAATCGAACCCGAGACCCCAGGATTACAAGGCCAGGAGTTGATATTCCGCGCCTCTTATGGAGACCGAAATGTACTGTACTGACTTTAGGCCGCTAATAAATTCTGGCTAATGTGACTGCAATATAAGGAATTTCACCGTGTTTGTTTAAAATCTATTTTAAAATTATCCTCTCATATAAGACTCATGCATATTATTTAACCGTCACTCTTGTTTTACGACAGAAACAGCTATGTACTTGAAATATTAGAATTAAGAATTTTTAGAATTGTCTTGCACATAAGGAAATTCTACATCTTTTTGTAAGATTTTTACTTGAAACGAACCAGACTTAAACTTTGTTTGTAATTAAAATAAAATTCCATCACTTCCTTTGTCCATGCCTTCTGACGTTTCCCTTTTACTAACACCTGGAGGCAAATAATAATTAATTTACAAAAATACATTCCTGACTGCCACTAACCGTATAAAATTGTCTGCTACCTTCCGGACATCATTATAACTTCATATTACAGGATATTCCGGTAACATTGAGACATCAGATGTAAATGAAATTCTTACTAACATACACATGTAAAAAATAAGTCTAAGAAGTTGGTATGAAAGAGTTCGAATGTTTCAGTTCTTCCCATACAAAGATACGCGACGTTTTTATGTTTGCATCCTTGAGGCAAAGATTGTTTCGTATTTTATTACCACGAGTAGGCCCGTAACTTTCGTTTAGTGCTCCTTATACAACGACAGTTGATAAACTTTTACAAAAAAACAAGAAATAAAATTCCTTTGAAGAAAGGGTATATATTGCGGTGTAAGAAAATAATATATTTTCAAAGGAAATTCCAAAAAAGTTCAGATTTATAATCTTCCAGATTCGGAGCCCTTTCTGTAATAAAACTTAAGAGTACAGGTAAAATAATTTTAAAAATTTAAATCAACAGCAGTTATGCAAATAAAACGACTCTTATGGGATATTGCCCCATGTAGTCTAATATAAATACACCGACGTTTCAGACTACGCTGCGCAACATCTCAGAAGACAGTTGTCTTCGTACTAGCCGCCTTAAGATCCTAAAATATCACCAAGTGTGTGCAAGGTCTTTGAATACAAGTAAATACTATAATGAAGAAAGAAATGTGATAGATATATACTCTATTATTATTATTATTATTATTATTTTATTTATTTAGTGTTCTGTGTGACGACAGGTCCATATGAACAGGATCCTTCCATCCTTTTCTCGGACTGGGACCTGTTCATATACGTTCTTGGCAGATGATCCAGAAGTGGGTTGCCATTGCCTTCTTCTGTGTGTGAATGGAGTAATTGTTGGGATGCCACGGAGGAAAACTCCGTGTTGCCTAGACCACGGCCTTGCCCAACACAAGTTATAAATTCGGGTACCGCCTGGAATCGAACCCGAGACCACTGTCTGTCTAGGTTTACGAAGTTTATCAACCAACCAAACTAAAGTGTGGTTATGTTTGTCAGTCCGTCTGTCTGCTCCTCTGTATGTTTTATTTCTGAAGGTACTGATCCAATTTAAATTACATTTTATAATTACTTCACGTGGAAATATTTATTTGTCGACATGAATCCAAGTCCTTTGCATGTAGTAACTCACAATTAGTTTAATCGAAAATGGGTTCATAATTAAAAAAAAAAATAGTCATTTCATAAACTGCAGACCTTGTTAAAAACTCGTTTAAGTCAACGAATTTAATTTGAAACATTTTCTGACGTGATAAATATTCCAAGATAAACAAGGTGAAGCGATCTGTGACTCATCGGAATAATGGCAAAGTGTCGCATATCTTGTATATGAAAGCCACTATTTCTACGTCTGCTAAAACTTTCTTTAATTCTCTTATTGTAAACTACTATATTTCATATTAACATTTTCAACAACAAGTAAACTCCTTTCAGTAGCCTATTACCAATGTCTATCAACACGATGTCACGGTAAAAGTGGTCTCTGTCCTAAAATTACGCTGGAGGGTCCGAGAAATAACAGAAATCAGAGCCTGTATATTCCGAGCGTCATGCCTTGCAGTTCAGTTGGAGCAGCTAAACTCTTGCCGTAATGTAGGTGCTTTGCAATGAAACAGTAAACTCGCATTAAAATGTCTGATGATTCACTGTTTCCTTCCGAAGGTCAATCTAACTCTATGGAAAAATACTTGTCTCTAATTCTCTTTTTTCCTAACAGATGGGGTGTAGTGATTAGCTGGCTGTATCAGAGTCGTGTGACAGTCTAACCTCCTCCCTCCGCCACCTGTCTTCCACGATTACCCATCATTCACTGCTATAAATAATTGACTGTGTGCAGTCCGCAATGCTTGTTGTTCGGTTAGAGTGAAATCGCGGCCATTTTGTCGTTTGATTTATAATTAGACATGTTTTTGCATCAGGTAAAGAGCTTAGAATGAAGTAAATCTTACGTACTATATCTGTTGTGTATAAGAACGTGTGTGGTGTATTATTTTGTTTTCGGGAGTGTTTTAAAATGTGCTGTGATTGTAAAATGGAAACAGATTTCCGTGTGTGTGTGTTTAACTATAAAGTGGAGCTATATGACGTTACCCCATACAAAGGCACTGAAGCAGAATATGGAAGGTAAGATGGTTTAATTACAGTATTCTCTTACTTTATCTTGTGTTAGTTATGATATCAAAAATCAGGATTGTCCAAACTTTAGCCTGGTGACCACATAATTAGCTCCGTTTTCTACCAAACGCGTGATAAAGACAAATAACTGTGACAAAGTATAAAACCATCCGGGTTTTTCAATGAAGGAGTAAGTTTCGGACTCACATTATCCGTTATGTATGTTCGTGTTTTAATATTTTAGGTGTTTACGTTGCCATCTGAAGCTGTTAGGTTCTGACGGCGATAAACATGACAACGCGGTCTTCTTAGTTGTGACGTCATGTTGTGTTTTACGTTTTGTGCACAGGGGTGTAACAATATGCAGTATGTTATATAGATCAGTGGTATTCAATCTTTTTTGTTCGCGTACCCCCAGATATAACTTCTCTTCAACTTTGTATCCCCAAAGTTGTTGGTGTATAAATCAAGTTATACATAGTATATAATCTACATCTAAAATAAATTAAATAAATTACATTACTGATTATTCAGTGTTTATCATAAAATAATATAT